AAGAAACAACTAGAGAAGACACATGAAACCATTAACAACATCTTCAAAGGAATAAAATTCCCCAAAGAAGAAAACAACAATACACTACCCTTCCTGGATATCCTCATCAGCAGAGGAAACAACAGGAAATTAGAAACCCACGTTTATCAGAAGACAACCCACACCAATCAAGTACTCCACTACCAAAGCAACAACCCGACCTCCCACAAGAGGAGCTGTGTAAGAACATTATTCAAGTGAGCACAAATGCATTGCAGTAACCCAGAACAGCAGAAAAAGGAAAAAGACCACCTATACAATATCTTCCAACAAAATGGATACCCACGTAATTTTATCAAAAAGTGCCTGACCACTCAACCTACTACAACACAACCCACACAAGCCATGAAAAGGATCACATTGCCGTACATCAGAAACGTCTCAGAAACCGCCAACAGATTGTTACAACCATATGGCATCTCTAGCACACAAACCAACAAAATCACTCCAAAACATCCTAAGTTCATTAGATTCCTGATTCCTAAATGAATCTAAATTCATTAGATTCCTAATTTTTTTACACTACTAACCTAACCATATACCCTTCTGATACAGATTGGCTTTCTGGTTGTAAGATGAATCTCTTTTATCCACATGCTTTCCCAGGGTGATCTTAGTGTGCCATAATGAGTTTGATGATAACTGTACCATTAAAGATAAAGTTTTCAAATCAGCACTGGATGTTGTCTTTGTTCTATGTGTCTCAGCAAACCATATAATACATTGTGCCAGAGTTTTGATTTGTACAATTATTATTAGCTTCAGGAAATCTGTTAAAAGGTTTATTTGGAGGTAAAATTTAAAATGGTAGAATCTTCAGATGGTTTGGCAATTCATTTCAGTACTCATTTAACCTATGATAAAGGGTAGGATAATTTCCAATTATCTGTCAGAGGAGGAGGAATTGATAATCTATCTTGCAAAAAGTTTGGGTGCTTCTGGAAGCCAATAATATAGGGCAAATTTACACTTTATATTAAACATGACTTTTAAAAAATGTCTTAATGTTTCTCTTTTGTAAGGAAAATAAGTATGAGGATAGGAGTATGAGAATAGGAGCAAAGGGCACAGCCACCAGTTTCCCACTGATAATCTTATAGCTGATAGATAGTAGGTGGAAGAATTCATTGAGAAACAGATGCATAACTGTGCAAAAATATGTTCTGAATGTCTTGGATATGAGGGTTGCCAGAAGTAGAAGAAAAATTCTGTATCTCATTTGCAGCAGTGGATTGTCATTGTATTTTGTTTGTCAGGATTGAAGGAGAGCTGACAAGAGGGGAAAGGTGAAAAATTTCAAGCAATATAGCCCAACTTTTTAGAGTTATTCTGGTTATAATATAATTCGCAGACTTACTTGCTTTCTCTCCTTCTTACCAGTTTTGAAGTTACACTAATTCTTTGCCATATGCATTTTTTGGAGATGGGAGGGGTGGTTAAGTGGTAAAATAAAAGTTTTTAAATCAAGACTCCACATAGCCTCTTTTCCCATAAGCATGCTTTGTCTTAAAAAAAAAAAAAAAGTATTACAAATCATGAATATTTTACCAAATATAGCACATTGCAATTTAGAAGAATGATGAAGCTAGTAGACTAATCACCCAAAACTTTAGGATATAAGGTGGGTCAGTATAGTCTTTGGGTCAGACTCAGATGCACATACCTATAAGAAACTGAAGGTAAAGTGGGGGAGAAGTGAGAGTATGATTCTGGTGCAGGAAATTATACACCCACATAATTGTAAATCTCAAATTATTTGATTGAATTCCCTTAGATGAGATATTCTCTTAATCTCATTTCCATAGACTAATATTCCATAAACAAGTTTGCAACAGTCTTTAGAGTAATGAAACATAACCTCCTCAGTATTATGCAAAATACAGATAATTTCCAATTATCTGTCAGAGGAGGAGGAATTGACAATCTATCTTGCAAAAAGTTTGGGTGCTTCTGGAAGCCAATAATATAGGGCTAATTTATACTTTATAATAGAAGTATTAAGAACAATAAGATGGTGTTGTTACATTTCTTGTGTTCAAACTGATTTATAACTTAGAATATATTGATATTTCCAGAATGCAGAAATCTCAGTTTTTGAAGTAAACATCCGTTTTGTTGGAGGGCTACTTTCAGCGTACTATCTTTCTGGAGAAGAGGTAAGGATATATATATATATATATATACTATATATATATATGGTATTTATGCATGCATGCATGCATGCATGCATGCCTTTGAGTCAGTATTGACTCCTGGCAACTTCCTGGACAAGTTCCTGCAGTTTTCTTGGCAAGATTTCAGAATTTTGCCATTGCTTCCTTCCTATGTCTGAGAGAGAGGGACTGGCCCAAGGTCACCCAGCTGGCTTTGTGCCTGAGGCAGGACTAAAACTCATGGTCTCCCAGTTCTAGCCTGGGGCCTTAAGCCACTACACCAAGCTGGCTCTTGCTACTGAATTAAAAATTGAATTACAGGATAAAGTCCAGTTCTGTGAGAGTGAATAGAAATCATCCTTTAATATATTCCTTTGGCAGTTGTAATTCTGTTTGTATTAATATTGCTACTCAAAAGTTTAGTGAATTAGGTTTGCTTGTTTCTTAAGGTTGCCTATATCTCTAAATTGAAAAAGTAGGTTACTATTCATGTATACTTTTCTAAATCATTTTGACACGTGCTTGAAAAGATTGAAATTCATCACTTATTTTGTCATCATAATATAGCCATAGAGAATTAACATTAAATATTGGATCCAGTGCTAAAAACCCAGCACAATCTCTTGCTCATTTTGAACATTTCAAATAAGATTCTGGCATAGCCATTTCAGTTAGATACAAGCAGTTATTGGCAACACACTAACTTTATATATAGGGATTTTAAAATTTTGGTTGAACTGACAGAACTATTGAAATGTTACACTGTTGCCTATAGGTTGGTGCTTGAACCCCTTAGGTTTTCTGAATATTTGAACAGGCTTTCATAGAATTGCTGTTAAATTCATGCCATAGAGAGATTGGTGGCCCAGTGTTACATTAGTGAGTTGAAACACAGATCTGTAGGATTGCATATGACCTTTTTTTTAATAGTCAGATTCATCTTCTTTATCATCTGTTCATGTCCTATCTCACAAAAATTAAGCACAGACCTTGTGTCATTCAGTTTTGGCCCCCAAGTTGTGTTAAATCTGTAGATAGCCCATGAGAACTAATAAGAGGATCATTCCCTTTTTGGGGAGTACCCCCAAATTCTTAACTTTGCTTAAATGCTGTCTTTCCTGTACAACGGCTGCTAATGTAGCATTATAAGTTATAAAACAGGCATGCTTCTTTATTAACTTTAATAAAACAGTAAAATATGGGATATTAATTTTAAAAATCAATAATTGTCAGCCATGTATAGGGGATCCATAACATAATATTTTTAAAGTGTAACCAAACCTTACTCTTGCTATATGTTTATAATAATAAGAGTGAGATGATCCAAAATTAGTATACATTTGAATATATATTAGTCTCAAAAATTTGGCACTGCATTTCTTGAATTCTTCCAAATTCACTGCTTAATTTTAGACCATTTTAATTCTCCAATGAGGGAAATGAGGCTTGGTCACTCCCTACATATGTTATATTAATCCCTTGTGTTTTCAAAATTATTATTTTACCTCAAAGAAGATAAGAAATCTACTGCTGAAACTGGGTCGGTACCTACACCAGTAAAGGCTGTTGCCGCACTTGTTTCTGCTACAGCAGACCTTAAATTGTTACCCCCTCAGGCAGTTGCTACAATGGAAGTTTTTACAGCAGTAGTGCATTTTTTATGTAGTCAGGTAACTTCATAAATATAAATGTAGCAGTTTAAGATTTATCATCCATGGCAAGGGTTTCAATTTCAGACTTATTTATGGAGTATTATTTACAGATTAAACATTTATTTTAATCCATTCAGTAACAAAAGCACTGGGTGGAGTACACAATAACTGAAAATACTAAAACCATCAAACAATAAAAACAGTACAGTACATTAATGGCAGGGAGGAAGATGACATCTTACACATGAAAAACAGTCATGCCGGCATGTTTTATCTCAGCAGTAACTTAGATTAAACTAAAGCACCAGCTTCAGTAAGTAGCTCCTGCATTTTATGAAAAGGTCAAGCTAATTAGCCTTGCTGGGATGCCCAGTGGTATGTGATACCTGGGACTACCTCACTTGAATTAAATATATGAACTATACATCAATTTACCATAGTGTTTTTCAACCTTGGCAACTTTAAGATGTATGGACTTCAACTCCCAGAATTCCCCAGCCAGCATGCTGGCT